TGACTATATCTCTTGCGTGAAACAGAGCCATTGCGCTGTATCGATTGACTTGCCGTTTGAACCTATAGGGAAGGATCGATTATCAGAGTGCTCACGGTAAACACCTCAATTATCGATAGTTTATCATGGTTTCGAATGGGAAAATATCGATTATCAGTGCGAACACAGTCGGCCCCGATTTCGATGGTTCACCATCTCTAAGCCGCTGCTTGCAAAGACGAGCGGAGGCCGCCAAATTTGGAAGCCCGCTCTTCTTACGCCATCGTTTGCTTCGCCTTACAGAGAGAGGAAGGGAAGGGGGAGGGGGGAGGGAGGGGGAGAGAGAGAGAGAAAAGCTACTCGCAGGAGCTTTCCTACCACGGCTTCCGACGGTAGGTATCCGTGATCTGTGCCAGTGTCCCAGTCCACAAGATCAAATAGACTACATTTTGCAATTACAAACTGCAGTGGGTCACTGAGCCATGAGCGAAATACTTTTTACTTGAGAATGCATCTTCCCGAAGATAAATGATGCGTGGAACGCGATGCGGGGGGAAATTTTGCGGAAAGCCAACCGAAATACTGTGGAAAGCCGGCGCGGCGCACAGTGGAACGAGTCTTTGGAATAAGTCGCACATGAAATTTTTCACAAAAAATTGTAAAAATTTACGTTTACCTCGTCACACTTTTAATTTTAAGGGGTGCTTCTTGTAGAAAATATTACGGGAAACTAATGAAACTTCTTTTAAAGCATCAACATTTCATATCAATGAAGATATACGCTTCCAGAGTATTTAAATCGTGTCCGACCCCTCCTACTGACTCGATCCACTGTGCGGCGGCCGCATGCGTGAGAGCGTGGAAGCTTACGACCCCTGCGGTCCGATTATTGAAATTGATAAACAAAGCTATAGAAAAAGAAGACAAAAGAGATATGGAGAGATCCTATTGGTGGAAGCGGGTGGTTGCAATGAACAAAGGGGATAGGTAATAGACTAACTAACGGCAACCCACGAGAGACCCAACAGTTAGTCTATAATTTTCTCCCTTTGTCTATGGGAGTCACCCATTTCAACCAATAGGATCGCTCCATACTCCCTATGTCTCCTTTGTCTATAACTTTGTCCATCAATTGCAATAATCGGCCCGCTTTAAAAGGCTTCCTCTGCCGACTCGCCTATCTTCCCTGCCACACAGTCCTACTCTGAATAAATATTAGATTTGTTCATGTTCAAATGGCTAAACTTTCCGTTTGAAGAGGCGACGGTAAATTCTCTGTGTTTCCCTTCAAGATTTTTGAGTTTTACCCGCTACCTTGTAGAAACCTGCGCCGCGCCGTTGCAGCGTTTTACACACCAAAGTCAGTGTACTAATTTATCGAAATCAAGGCGCTTTTAGAATTTTCAGCAAAAAATATACTTCTAATGTTTTTGATTCGCTAACGCAACGCCGCGAATACGAATTATCGCGGGCGACAAAAGGCGCGCCCGCGTGAAGTGCCTGCAACATCTTGGGTATACTTCAAACGCTACACTGTTACACAAAGGTCTGGCGTGCAAATTGCCCGTACTTCGCCTAACTGAGTGTACACCGTGTTTCGAGGTGAATAACATCCACCGACACCCCCATCCCCCCCTCCCCCGATCCACGAATAAGCGGCAAGGTAGGCAAATCTGGCGGAAAATTGCGGATTTCTCAGCACTGGCTGGCAACAAGGATGGGCGGTCAAGCACATTTAGCACGCTTGACAAATCGACATTTCAGAGGCGGCGCGATGCTAGGGCGCCTAGGACCCTAACTCAATATGTTCGAATGGCAAACCCTTTTTTGCGATGCACTATCGAAAACAGCGTAAAAAAAAGAGGAATTTTGGCACGGACTGAAAGTCTCAAGACATCGCCTAGGGGGACCAATTTTTGGATTTTGACCTTTGGAATCTTAAAGTATGCAATTTTAGACGATTTTTCGTCCAAACCGGACGTCAATATCTTTTTTCGTTCGAAAGATATCGAGGTTCACAGGTTTTGACTTCCACCTCCCCCCCCTAGTGCCCCCCAAAATTCTTTGGGAGTCTGAAAATTTGGGGAAAGAAGCGCTCCAGTGTGAGTAACTGATAGACGAAGTATGAATAAGTTTTAGTGGGGGGGGGGGCGAAAAAAGTCGTTTTTGCATACGGCTCTTTCAACTTTACTGGGCCACCATTGTGAACGGGTAATACATACGCAGGAGCCTCAGGTTTCTAATGCTTCTTATTAATGATGCACCACTCAAAGAGTACCAAATAATTTTGGCCCCCTCGAATGAAGTTTATCTTGAACCACCTTCGCCTTTGAGTCATGCACCATTGAAAAGAGATTGAAGAGAGAATATTTTTAGAGCAAACCTTGGGTTTCTATCTATCATCAGCCATGGCTGCATACTGCCGTGCTAAGGAAAAACGCCGTCAAAGGCCAAAAGGCGTTCAAGCGTTGCCGAATTTCCTCCGATAAAATGCGAGTTTTCAAGGAATCTGTTGGATGTTTTCGTTCAAATTTTTCAGAAGATTCTGTACAGAATTTGATCTAAAACTTCTGAAAATTTCAAAGGAAAATCTTCAGAACTTTCCTCAAAAATACACGTTTATTCAGGGGAAATGTTTCAAGTCTTGAATGTTCATACGGCGTTTTTTCTTAGCGCGGCAGAATGAATAACAGTACTTTACTAGGAGTGACACTAAAGTCTCTTTAATTTGTTCGCTAGGTTTATGAAGAAATTTTTTCAGAGTGCAAGAATATTAGGTCCTTAAGTACTTTAATTAACGAAAAAAAAAAAAAAAAAAAAAAAAAAAAAAAAAAAAAAATGTGGTACTGATAATACAGTTACATTTTTCATTACATTAGAAAAATTCCTTGCCTCAAAAAATACCTCTTAAAGTAATTTGAGGGGGTTTGGTACAGGTAATTTGGGACTGTTTTTGAAAAAAAAAAAAAAAATTATATGCACACAAAAGCAGGGGTGCAGAAAGTTCTTCCGAGCAAAACTTGTCACAGTTTTCACTCAACAAAAATGCTGAGAGTACAGAGCAAATTTAATGAATCTTAGCTGCTTTCAGTTGCTTCCTCTTTTGCCGTTGAAAGGAGGAGGGGAAATCATTTTTTTTTTAAAACAATCCTCACCAACTTACCAGTTTCCTCATACCATACTCGATCAGAGGCTCTCTGAGTGCGTCTTGCTTGCTCTATGGACACTACTAGTGTTTCGTCAGAGAAAAGCGCCATTAATCAATTCATTCTCATTGGTAGAATTGAAAGAGGTTACGTCATTGTTAAAGTTTGGATCTAATTCGATATAACAAAGGATCCCTGTGTAGAGGTCAAAACACTCACGAGTTTTTGACATTCAGGTGATCAGAGCCGGATTTAGGTTTTTGCTGCCCCCCTCCTCCCAGATATACGGTGTAATATCTCACAGGTGCATGCAATGCGCATGAAATTTAAGTTACAGAAACACAGCAAAAGCGTAATCCGATTCTACGATAGTGAGAAGGATGCACATTTGTGCAGGAAAGTGTCGCAAACAAATATTCAGGGAGGAGGAAATGATTCTTCAAGGAATGAGGAATTGTGACTCGAAAAAGGCGAAAATGAAACATAGTAAAAAATTAAATTAAATGTTGATGCTGAAGTGCCGAACCTCGTATCTCCGTCAAGGCATTTCAGAACTTCCGCTTCTATTTTACTTTTCACAGAGAAACAACCAAACTTTATGGCTTAAGATTCATGATCATACTGAATATTTTGCTTACAGAGTAAGTATTTCAAGAGAGCTTTCTAGAAAATATGTTGACTTCTTTTCCAAACAATAAATAAGTAGAGTGTCACTGGAAGTCTGCAACGCCGCAAATGGAGATTCGTCGTTTCCCACTTTGGTCACAGATGTACTCATGTTTTCCGAAATTTGCCTCCCAGTACCTTGGCACCATGGGCCCCCCTACTTAAATTTGGCTCTGCAGCTGATACGAATTACACTTACTACTATTGTTCATAGAAGTTGATTCCAAAACTTCAAATTTTGAGAGGAAAAATATTAAAGAGCACTTAACTGCCATGCTAGGGAAAAGTGACAAGTGAGCCTGAGCCTTCAGACATTGTCGTACCTACCTCCCACCATAAAATAACTATTTTTGAAGGAATAGATACATCTTTTTTCCTGTAATTTTTGGATATTTTGGATTAAGACACAAAAAAATTGTTAGAAAAATTTAAAGGAAAATATTCACAATAGCCCCTGTAAGTGGTGTAAGAAAATTAATTATGTGGTGGACGTAAAATGACAACATCTGAAGGCTCATACAGCATTCTTTCTAGCCACGACATTTGGGCTCTTGCTTTACGTCTAGTGGCTCGTTAACTATAGTCTAGAAAACTACAGGACAAAGTCTGATTTAGAAAAAAACATTTGATATTATCTCTTTAAAATTTTAAATAGAGAACGATTTATACCATGATCACGCGATCTTGAAGCTCCTATATCAACTACTGAACAAGGCACTATCAAGTTAGTATTGGTAACACAGAAGAATCAAATGGAGGTTACTCAGATTATGTACAAATTGTCATTTTGACTACATTTCAAACTAAAACTCATACGTTAAACAAGAGATGATTTGCAGACTTCCTAGTAGATATCTTGTTCCTTATTGCATGTGGGTTAATTGATTTCTGGGCAAGGTGTGAATTGAAGCAGCATTTACAACTCAAACAACTGTAAATCGATTACTAAGCAAGATGAAAGAGTTTCCTGATGACATGATTCATATGGTCACTATTCGTAAAATCTACCTTCCATTAGTTTTCTACATCAGGGTTGGTACGTTGCAACATGTTACGTTGAAAACATGTGACACTTCCACTTCAGTTCAGACCTTCCCCAGCAACCCATTTTGGTTACAAATGTTTGGAGATTAAGTACAAATCATTGAGTAGGATACTGATTGATTCAGGATTTAGAATTTTGAAATTAAGTTGAGTAACGCAACTCACCCGTATTCATTCCTGTCCTGCGAGGTGAATCCTTCGGGAATGAGGGAGCTTTGAATTTTCGTCAACTCCTGCTTGATGTAGTTGTTTAAGTTGAAGCGAAATTCCATGGTAGGTAACACTTGATTATCCGCAACGAAACACACAAATCACAAAGAATATCGAAAGGAACTAGAAAGATTCACGAGCAATAGTCGAAATTGCGCCCAAGGAGAAGAATTCGCGACCTACGCAAACACAACGCGATAACTTTGAGACTATTCTATGACAATGACCGACGAAGCCGAACTAACCTAACCCCTGACCAACAAGGCGTTTGAGTTTAGCAGAGATTCACTCTTGGCCCGGAAGGCTAGACTTACAGAAAATCCTGCCGCAGATCATCAGTAAGCGGGAGCGTGACACCGATGCGCGTATGCTCTCAGCTCTGGTGGAGAAAGAGAGAACTTCAATTGCACTTATGTATTAGCAATTTATCCCCCCTTCTTATCTGCCGCCGTGGCTCCGTGGTACAGCGCTCGCCTCCAGGTCGGAAGGTTCGCGGTTCGCGCCCCAGCTTGATAATATTTTGACGTCATTAAATTACACGTTATGTCATTAATGTCGCGAGTGGCAGTAAAGAAATACTTTTTTCCATAAAATAAGAGTGAGGCGTGCATTTTTGCGCACGTAATTGAAAAGGGCTCCTCTTGCAGAGAAACCTCTGGACCTAGGGTGTAAGGCCCTAATCTTACGTAGACCGTCCAATAATTTTTTTTAGAGGAAAAAGCAGACTCCGAAGACAGAAATAAATGTAACATTAGTGGGCAGTATAAACAAATAAATGTAAGTATGCCTTTACAAAGGGGCCGTCCGCAAATTACGTACCTAATGCACTTACAGGGAGCCGGGAGGGGGTCCAGAGGTGCCTTACCTATGCCTATACGTAAGCCAAACGCAAAAATTTTGTTTCTTCCAAATTCCGTTAATTTAAAGACTTACTAGTCCAAATTTCGTTTTTTAGACGTTTAATGTTTTTCGGTTAAAATGTAATTTTACTGAACTTTTTGAATTAAAAAACTGCATGTTATTTTTTCAATACAACTGCTATTTTTCATGATCTCCTACCAGCGATTAGTAATGTTTAAAACAATACCGATTTGTTTCAACACCATTTTTTTTATTAAATTATGCATTTAAACGATAGAAGAGGGGGGGGGGGGGATAAAAATTGGAAAAATTGCCTTTCGTAATTTATGGACGGCCCCAAAGAGTAATTTTGAAATTTCCTATTAGTATTTTTTGTATTCCTTATACGCCTACGGTCGTTTTACTTCGAATTCCGTACCCCATAAATAAAAGAAGAGCAATTGTGCAGATTTTTCTTTTACATAAAGGGACGTTTCACTTTAAAAGATTCCATCTTGGTCCGCAGGAGTTTCTGTCAGCCCTTCCTTCAGAGCTCAGGGGCTGAATCTCTGCCTGAGGCGAGGACTGACAGAAAATCCTTCTCCAGGTGCGGAGTGCCTAGAGTCTGCAGAAAGGGAACATCGATGCTCCCGACTGCGCACCAGACAGTTTGCGATGGAAATTCGGCAGGATTTTTTGTAAGTCCTGCCTCCGGAATTCAGGAGTGAATCTCTGCTGAACACTCGACTCTGACCAACAAACCGGAGACAAATACAAACTGCCGACTGAAGCATAGAATAAAGAGACTAGTTCACTGGGAGTAAAATCGTTCTCAGGAATCAAAAGGACTAGGTTGAGGAGGAGCGTTGCGTTGCGCTTGGCGCTTCCGTAGAAGGGAAGGGCAAAGAGACTAGTTACACGATACACTTTTTGCTTATAATAACCGGGCTGATTCTATCAGACTCGTATCCGTATCCGATTGCGCATAGACTAATACACCCGGGCCACCCGCCATCCGCGCAACAAGAGGGATGCCGCATAACTAGTTCTAGCGACCGCCGCGCCGCCGCAGCGCTGCCTACCGTAAATTACATCGGCCGACACCCGTTCACATTGTCCCCCTCAACTATTCGATATTTCCCCGCTATTCCTTCCTCTATACCTTCACCCTCCCTATTTTATAGAAACAATACGTCAACCACCGAAACCATAACCCGAGGAAAGTCTCTTCCTAGCCGAATTACCCCCATCAGATTCCCCTTCCCATCCACGATTTCTCTCCGGAATGGCAATCTTCAAAAGTTCGTAAAATTTTTTGAAACGTTCAAGTTCGATGAAACTTTTTCTGAGCCCTCCCAGCATACCTAGGGATGGATAGGGATGATACCACCGGAAAAGCCCCCATCAGATCGGCCCATCGTTCGATGCATTCACTCCGGATCATCAAATTTCAAGAGTCCATAAAAAAAATTTGACGCATACAATTTTGATGCGACATTTTCCAGGCACCCTCTGCATCCCTAGGTATCGGAAAATGTGAAAATTATCGTGTAGAAAAGTTTCCTACTGCCGGAGAAGCCCCCATCAGATTGCCCTTCCCATTCGCGATTTCTCTCCGGGATTGCAATTTTTAAAAGCTCGTAAAATTTTTTTGAATCGTACAAGTTCGATGAAACTTCTACTGAGCCCTCCTAGCACATCTAGGGATAGATAAAAATGAAAATCGTGAGGGAGAAAATTTTCCTACTACCGGAAAAACCCCCATCAGATTGCCCTTCCCATCCGCGATTTTTCTCCGGAATGAACAATTTCAAAAGCTCGTAGAAAATTTTTGAAACGCATCGAACGGAGAGCCGATCTAAGGGGGGATTTTCCGGCAGTAGGAAAATTTCTACACGACAATTTTTACATTTTCCGATACCTAGGGATGCAGTGGGTGCCCAGAAAAGGACTCATCAAAATTGTACGCGTCAAATTTTTTTATGGGCTCTTGAAGTTTGATGATCCGGAGTAAACGGAAACGCATCGAAGGAAGAGCCGATATGATGGGGGCTTTTCCGGCAGTAGGAAAATTTTCTACACGACAATTTTCACATTTTCCGATACCTTGGGATGCAGTGGGTGCCTGAAAAAAGTGTCATCAAAATTGTACGCGTCAACTTTTTTTTATGGGCTCTTGAAGTTTGATGATCCGGAGTAAATGCATCGAACGAAGAGCCGATCTGATGGGGGCTTTTCCGGTAGTAGGAAAATATTCTTCCTTACGATTTTTATTTTAATCCATCCCTAGGTATGCTAGGAGGGCTCAGAAGAAGTTTCATCGAACTTGTGCGATTCAAAAAAATTTTACGAGCTTTTGAAAATTCAAAATTGTAATTCCGGAGAGAAATCTTGAATGCCTGGGGAATTTGATGGGGGTTTTTCCGGTAGGAAGAGACTTTCCTTGGGTTATGCTTTCGGTGGTTGACGTATTGTTCCTAGAAAATAGGGAGGGTGAAGGTATAGAGGAAGGAATATCGCGGAGCGGAGAAATATCGAATAGTTGAGGGGGACAATGTGAACGGGTGTCGGCCGATGTAATTTACGGTAGGCAGCGCTGCGGCGGCGCGGCAGTCGCTAGAACTAGTTATGCGACATCCTCTTGTTGCGCGGATGGCGGGTGGCCCGGGTGTATTGGTCTATGCGCAATCGGATACGAGTCGGATTCAGCCGGATTCAGTCGGATTCACAATCAGCCCGGTGATTGGAGGGTTTCTTGTTTTTGTTTCTGCTCGCGGAGAGTCAAGACAATTCGGCTCATGGATGTCACAAACGGGAATAAAGATTACAGAAATCGAACGTTTTTCGTAATCTTTGATCGGCCCATTCTCGAATTCCTTTCTTCGTTCCTTCCCTCATTCCGTTTGTTCCTTGCCGAACCCGTAATTCCCCGGTCCATTCCAGATTATAATCTTTGCAATCGGTGAAACTGTAATCTTTATTCCCGTTTGTGACACTGTGAAGGCCTAAAATACGGGAACCAATCAGAAATGGATTCAAATTGTCTTGACTCTCAGTATGAAGGCAAAAGGGACTCTAGTCCGCGTAAGAGAGGGAACTTGTTCTAGCTATCAATCTTCTCGTTTCAAAAATGTCTGAATCTGCCGGAAACTGGTGCCTAATTGAAAGCGATCCCGGTGTATTCACAGAACTAATCAAAGAATTCGGTAAGTTGTTCTCAACTTTCAGTTAACCACCGGCGAGACCGATTTTGAGGTTATGTTTCTCTTGTCGCATCATATCCTCCGTCTAATTTTTGGAAAATGATAAAAGGAGAGCAAGTCTCCTTTCTTGACTCTTACGAGTAAATAATATTTTGCCTTGGTTTTTTGAGGACTCTCGACCTTTCTGAGAGTGTTAACGCCAACTTACAATGTGTTGGTCCCGATGAATCTGCAACTTTGAGGAGAATCTAAACCAGAAGTAAACGATCATAAACGGCTTTTACTATCCCAGTTTCTTTGTCATTATTTTCTATCTTCAAAGCGCTGATTAAGTTAAGAAACCTGAAACACCTAATTATTCCTGAAAAATCCTTTCTTTACCCTGAAGTGAAGTAAGATATTGGAATGGAATCAATGCATTCTCCTATTGGTATTAAACAATACATTTTCGCCTTATATTACTTTAAATCTCACTTCAAGATTACCAAGAAAGATTTCTAGGGAAGAGTTGTCTGAAATGTGTCCTTGAGAATAATTGTTCCATATTTGGGTAACTTTTAAGTGAAAGTCAGTACTTTAGTATAACCAGTTTGATATCTCTGCATCAGCTCACTTCTGGGATATATTAACCATAATTTGTACAAGTAAATAACTTCATGGCGTTTTTTTTTTTTTTTTTTTACTATTCACTTCTAAAGCATAGAGAAAATACAGAAGTGGTGGCAAGGCAGTCATCTTAAAGATTGGCTGTGACGTAGAAAAGTACGCGGACTGGCGCGCTGTTAAAAAAAAAGCACATTTCATGATTTAACCTGTGCAAAGGCCTACATCACCATTGAATCTAACATTGAAAGTCATATAATTGAACATTAGTTACCATGACTCTCCAACTGCTGCTTTTTTGACGCTCAGAATGTAATTTATCATAGTTATACCTTCAAAACAGGACGAGTAGAGATAAATGTCATTATTATAAGAAATATATATTTTCAACTCATAAATTATTCTCAATTACAGTCGAACATCGATAGAAGAACATAATGAAACAAAAAGTCAACAGTTACGAGTTTTTAGAGCCAAAATAAATGGGAACCTCACAACCTTTCCTGCTCCTTTTTAAATTTTAAACAGCTGGTCTTGGTTTTTCCGCGGTACCATTAACCAATTAGAAAGGCGGCCTCATTTTTAGCCGTGACATAGAAAAGTACATTTCTCCGCTTGCCACCACCTTCTGTATTTTCTCTATGCTTCTAAAGAATATTAATGGTAATGCGCCATCAAACTGTTGATTTTCTTGTAGAAAGCAGTTCACATGCTGTACAAGTATCCTTGTGAAAACGCACTCATTTGCGTATCAGCAGATAATGATTCCAGTAAAATATGTAGTTTTTTTTTTTTTTTTTTTATAAAATCACCAACAATCATGGTGGAATTTCCTCAAAATCTGAAGGATGATCGAGCATCGATGTAAAGTCTTTTTTACTACAAGAAACAGGGATTTATTCATTTGATATCATGGGTTTTACCTAGTAGAATGTGGCATTTTTTGCTTGTCTCCATGGCCATGTACTGCCTATAATGACAAATAAATCTAACAGACCGCAAGACAGATATAAAATCATGCTCTACATAACATCCTTTCTCATCAAAATCTCAAGCTGAGCATGTTGTAAACTTCAGGAAGTAACTAATGAGTGAGAAGTAATCATTCTTAGTCTACATCATTAACAGTAAGTTCAAAGTTTCTGCCCCTCGGAAAACCATAATCAACATTCAGAAAGAAGTTATTAAAAACGACAATGCTTCAGTCATAAAATGTACAGATAAATATTGGCTGAGGGTTTGATTTGACTTAGGTAGACTCTGTTTTATTTGTGAGCGAGAACTTTGAATGAACTCAGAGAATAACATTTTGTAACGTACAAGGTTGATGAGGAAGCATGTGTTGTAGTGCATAATTCTGTACTCAGCTGGATTGAGGTCGATGTCTAGTTCAAAGTTGTTTTGCCTTTCGATCCAAAATGTTTCATGTAAGAATCCCTCTCGGTAGTTGTAACAGTGATTTGCTTGACTTTTTCAGGTGTCAAAGGAGTTCAAGTTGAAGAACTATGGAGTTTGGACGCAGAATCATTCGAAAAACTGAAGTAAGCTGAGATGATGTTCGTTAAATAGTCTGGAAGCTGTATGCGATTATCCGTGGGAAAAGGCACTTCAGTTCCTCGGAGTCCACAAGAAAATATTTAAATCAAAAGATAGTTGCCAGATTGTGCTGAAAAGTCAGCTCTTTTCCCTTTATACACCCATTCAAAGTATTCATAATTTATCACACAATCTGACAACTGTGAATAAAAAGAACCATCCATCCAAGATTGGGACATGAGGCTGGTCTTGCATGTATTCTTATGCATCTCAGAGCTCATGTCAGTATGGGTGTACATCCTTTTGATATGGATACGTTCAATTTAGATTATATTTTTTAACCATTCATTTCAACCAATAGGACTGCTCCATACTCCTTATGTCTCCTTTGCCGGTCAATTTCAATTAATCAGCCCACTGTTTGATTTTACAAAGCAACCTATTTACTGCATTGGATCAAGTATTTCACTGTAGTGAGTGCTAAACTGTATAAATTTGAAAAATGCTCGAGGCACTCAAAATTTCCTGATCCATGACTGATTTTCCTGGTGATATCAAATTGCCGTATTTTTTCCAGTTTTTACTGACAATGGACACCCTGTCAGTAGGTTGTATGGTTTTCGTTAAGTTGGTTAAAGAAATCAGAGCTTGAGTTTTGGGGAGAAGGCTTTTTTCAATGCCCAGTGCTTTCCTTTTCCATCCTATTTCTCTGGCTTTTCTGACTCATTTTTCTTTTTCTACTCTTTCTATTCAATTTTATTCCTTTTTCTTCTTTCCTCCTCCTCCCTCCTCTGAAGAAAATTTTTTCTCTCCCTCTTTCTTTTGCTTTCCCCCATTTCCTGCTCCTCCTTTTTCCAGTCTCACAAAGGTGTAAAAAGTTTTTCACAGAAAAACCAGTGGAAAATTGCGCACCACAAAGACCGTCAAATATATCTGAATCTAAAAATCTCGGAAATGTTTTTGGTAATCTTTTTCCCCCTCATTTTTTTGTTTTAATTTAAAATGAAATTTAAAAAAATCAATCTTTCTGTCGAGAATTTCCCCATGAGCTTACAGATTTCCCCCGCCTAGCTAGGGCTCTTGCACTCAAGTGTTCTCCTTCGCGATCTTCTTAAATTCTTTTTATCCGTCCTCTTTTTTTCTCTACTTTTACTCCCATTATTTTCAGCTCATACTTTGTGTACAGATAGGATGGGATGGTTTTGGATTGCAATCTTTCAGACCTGTAGCATTACCCTCAGCCTATTCTCTGGGCAACTAAATTCAAGTAACGATTGAAGCTTATCTCGTGCATTTAAATTCTACTAAAATTATTAGAAGAAAAAGTTTTGCTTTTTCACTTTGCTTTTACTTTCAATTTAACCCAAATTCATCCCTTAAATATGCTCATTCTAAAGAATGTCTGTACTTATCGCTCAGCGACATCTGCTTATAAATCGCTCTCACAAAAATTTTTTCCTCTCATCATTTCAGACCCATCCATGGACTCATATTCTTATTCAAATTGGTTCACCAAACAGACGAGCAATCAGGGTCCATTGTCCGTGACAGTCGACTCGAAAAAATGTTTTTTGCACAACAGGTGAGTGCAACCTATTCCCTCTTGAATAACAACAATGGAGGCGTTTCTCAGTAGAAAAACCTTACACCCTCAGCAGCTCATGCCCTTTTTGTGGAGAATTTTCTATTTTCTATCAGATGTTTGGAAAATTCGGAAGGTACCTGATTTAGAATGACAAAATGACAACTAGATAGATAATGAAATTTAGCACTAAAACACATGTAAAGTGTACAATTTTGATACAGAAACTTGTATTGCATACAGATGCACGCAATTATCCTTCTTTTATTAAATTAAATACTTCACTATTCCAAACTACTCTTAATCAAAATTTTTACCCACCAGGTCATCAACAACGCCTGCGCGACGCAAGCTATCCTAAGTATCCTTCTAAACTGCAAGCACCCAGATGTTGCTCTAGGCACCACGCTAACCAACTTCAAAGAGTTCTGCTCTGACTTTGACCCGCACATGAAAGGCTTGGCTCTGAGCAACTCGCAGGACATCCGATCGGTTCACAATTCCTTTGCACCGCAGACACTGTTCGAATTAGACTCAAAACTCCCGTCAAAAGAAGAAGATGCCTATCATTTTGTAAGTTATATTCCGCTCGAGGGGCGATTGTACGAGTTGGACGGCCTGAAGGAAGGCCCGATCGATCTGGGGCCAATCCCTGAGGAAAAGGATTGGTTGGATGTAGTTAGGCCGATCATCGAGAAAAGGATCAACAAGTGAGTATCAAACAGATGGAATCTCGTTCTACCTACGGCGGGAGGTTCGAAAAAATGCAGTTAATTTTACTAGCATCCTAGTAGCATTCTTTGTTATAAAAAAGTTGACAAACTCGTAAATTTCAGAGAAGAACCTCTCATTAAAACAGAAACACTGAAATATATCCGAAAAAAGAAAGCCTTTATATGATATTATGTAAAAATGTCATTTTGTGAGTTTTTAATGATTTTTTTTTTAGTAAACTCAACGGAAAATTTTGCGTAAATTTTACATAATATTTTTGTGTTTTATGTTGCATATTTTGCAGTTTATTTTGTGTCAGGCATCAGTATGAGTGATTTGTAGAATTGAACACAAATGTATTGTCAACATTTTTTCGTACTTTTTTTTTTCAAGAGAAAAAAAAATGTAAATTCACATAAACTTTACTCTAAGAACAAAATGAGTTTCCCATTTGGTACATTTTAACATTTTTTCACGTTTTTTGTAGTCCAAATTTAACAATGTTTAAAATCTCTGATCACATTTTATTTTTGTTAGAGAACACCAATCGAATTTTCATCCGCCTCTTCCTTTTTTTTTACCCTTTTTTTCTCGTTTCTTCCTCTCGTTATAATTCCTCTGCTTCTTGTTTCTCCTGTCATTTTCATTCCCCTTCCTTTTTCTTTTCCCCTCTTACCCTCTTTCTCTGCCTTTTTTAAAAACGACAACGGAGAGACAGAACACGAGTTAGAAGAAAAGAAAAAAATAAAAAGCGGAAGAAAATAAAGGACATGAAGTTAAGAAGAGAAAAGGAGGAAGAGAAAGAGAATATTATTTTATTTGTTTTTCCCTCCTTAATTTCTCAATTTTCCTTCTCCTCCTCCTTCTCTTATTTTTCAAAAAGATGAAGAAGAGGCAAAAAAGGAGTTAGAAGAAGAGAAAAAATCAGGAAAAGTGGTACCTAGAATTGTAAGGATATGAGGTCAAAAAGGGAGGGAAAAAGGAAAATAATATCTTCTTACTCTCTACTTTTTCCCTTTCCTCTTGTTCGTTTGTTTTCTTTCTCAGTGAGATTAGAAATTTCACCTTGATGGATTCCCTTTTATTTTTTTATTTTTTTTTTTAACAGGTATAACGAAGGTGAGATTCATTTCAACCTAATGGCTGTGGTATCAGATAGGAAGTTGAAATATGAAAAGCAGTTAGAAGAATTACAGAAAAAAATCGAGGTAAGTTTTTTAAGAGCGTTTTGAATTCAATGAATAATGAACAGTAATGAGTGTTTGCTCTACCTCAGTCGATGAGATTCAGCAGCACCTTGAGTTTTTAGCGTTAAGCAAACCATTAGCATTTTCCTAAGTATGCTGAGATCATTTGAAAAAGACAAGAGAACTGCATTTTGCTATTAGAAGTACAATTTCTAGCTCATCTGTAGAAGCTTTTATGTGCATAGGGAAACTAATGGTTCCTACTTTGTTTCTAAAAAAAAAATGGCTAAATATAATCAAAGAGTCAATTAGTTTGTGATTCTTATTCTGCTGCGCTAAGGAAGAAAGTCGCATGAGCCTTGATATGTTGCCAAAAGTCCTTTGATAAAATATGAATTTGCAGGTAAATTGGTGAATTCTCTTCCTCCACTTTATCAGAGAATTATATTCGCAATCAGATCTAAATAATCTGAAAGTAATTCTTAGAGAAAGTATCTATAATTCCTGAAAAATCAAAATTTTACCGGAGGAAATAAGGCAACTTACGAATGTTGATACGGCGTTTTTCTTTGGCATGGCAGTAACACAGGGTCCTGTGCCACCCCTTAACCCCGAGGGTTCTTGTTCCTTCTCAGGGTGGTTCTTCTGAAATTTTGGGCGTTCCCAAAAGTCGTTTCCTTTCACCTAGGAGCACTCACAAAATTTCAAGCCTCTGTCTCCATTCATTCAAAAGTTACAGGGATGATGCCCCATGCTGGACTTTCAGAGCATTCTGTGTATCAATGGCCCAAGTGAAAAATGTGTATCTCAGTTTTTGGTATTGAATGCTGTTGCTCATGTTTAATTTTTTTGAAGGTAAACTGACCAACAGTTAAAAGTGGAATTTTTCATGAGTCTCCCTCGCTCATTGTAAAAAAATTTGATGAAATCGCAAGGAAACATGGTGATTACTTTTCCTAAAAAAAAGTACAACGTGATTGGAAATATTTAATTATTACAGTGGACAATTCCATTGGGAACAAACTTTAGAACCTAGGAATTTTCCCCCATCGAAATTTCATACTGAGCCAACGGAGGCATCAAGACTTTCCAATTTCGACTATTTGACAAAATTAAAAATGTGTTGTATCAGAGGAGGAAGGCAATGTGTTCTCCAAAGTCCATAACATCCACTTGTTTCAATCAATTGGATCATTGTCTCCTTGTTTATTGCTTTGTCCATCAATTTCAACAAGGATGTTTTGCATTCCAGAGTAGCGGAATGGATTCAGACTACAACCAGCAGGAAATCGACCGACTGAAAATGCTGATAGATCAAGAGGAAAACAAAACTCGAGAATATCAGATGGAAAACATCCGGAGGAAACACAATTATCTGCCGCTGATCGTGGAGATCCTGAAAGTGCTAGCAAAAGAAGGGCAGCTCTTGCCGCTCTACGAGAAAGCCAAACAGAAAGCGCTGGAGAAAGAGAAGAAGAAACAAGTCAAAGTTTAGTCTCAAGTTCCTTAACGTTCAACACTCCCGGTTGCCATTTTTTTTTATTAAGCAGTTTGAAATTGTGAAAAATATTCTTCAAACTTCAAGAAAGATTCCATAAAAGTTCCAAACTTCGGAAAGAATTATTTAAAAGTTCTAATTTTCAAGCAGATTCTTCGGAAAGCCCTTTTAAAGAAGATTTTTCAAAACCTTCCTAGTTTAAAAAAGACCCTTTAAGTGTCTCAATACTTAAAAAAGATGATCAATCAGACATATTTCTATCAAACGGACCTAAGCGCCATAGGGGGAGGAAGGTAGAGGGGGCTTGGATTGGCGACGGAATTGGGCGTCCGGCTTATTCCGTCCTATACTCGGAATGCTTTTCCATGGCGCTTAGGTCCATTTGACAGAACGCGCTCTCCGGGATTCTAAATTCCTCAAAAGGAACTCAAATTGGCGCTTAGTTCCGTTTGATAGAAATACGTCCAACTGTTCAAAATTCTATTCTTGTAAGTATCTGCCGTTTGTAATAAAACTTTTTTAACTTTTCTCAAATGTTATTTATTGTTTATTTTTTAAAGTTTTCCCCTCAATTATGCTTTTCTTGCTATGCTATTTATGCTATGCCTGTGCCTTTTTATTGTTATTCTCCCATGCTAACAATATTTAGCCGTCTCCAGGCGCCATGCACCTGGAAATCGGGCTTTGGCGCCCAAAAGTTGGGGGAGCTATGTCCTCGCGTTGAAATGTTGAAACCCCCCATTAAATCTGTTCAAGTCGCGATTTCATAGGTACGCCATAATGCATATGCAAAAAGTCAATTTGGCTTTAAAAACTGGGCTCTCCCGTCTAGGTGGCTCCCACAATTTTAGGGGTAAGGCAGAACACTGCTAGCTAACCTGATGAGCAACCGTTCGTTAAAATGACCTTAATTAGTGCTGAAAAATTTGTAATAGACCACTAGACAGAGAGAGAAATAAAGCATTAAGCACATATTTTGTCATAAAAATTTCTTGCAGGACGCATCGTATTAATCAGAAACATTCAAAAGCGAACTAAATTTTGCAATTCAAAATTACAATTCCTGGCTCATCTGAAAAAACATGCACTAATGTGCTTGCATGTACGTCCTCAATTTACTTTACCAACAGTAAATTCAAACTTCTCGTTCACAAAAAACGATAATTAACGTAGATCTAATTAGGTACCTTTTGAAATCAACCTATACTTCAGACCAATAACTACAGCTTGGTTTTACACACATTTCGATGGCTTAAGTGCGAAACCACGAATCTTCGTTCGCACTGTTGCAGACTTTTCGTTATACTTTATTCTTTTTTGGAAATCAACTTAACAGATGTTTTTGAGAACTTCCTTGATTTCTCTTCTCTGTTTGCAGAAATTTCTGTATAACTTTCAAGCTACAAGATTGGCTTGTTCGCCTGTGGAAGAATAAAAAAGTAGCAGAAATGTTGAAACGCCCCTATGGAGATATACGTCGTTACGCACTTAGGCCATCGATATCTTTCCTTATTTGATACTGAGAGCCTTTAATCTCGTAAAATAAAAGACACTTCACAGGGAATTTTTTCATGGTGAAGCATGCTGACATTCATTTTGTGCTCAATTTGACTCGCATTTTTTTGTATTCCTTATTTTTTGAGCGGTAACCTTAAATACCGTTGGCAAAAACCTTTATTTTCTAAGTGAATGGTTTAGCTTGGAAAATAAACACTCAATATACTCACTTGCACAAGAATAAATAAAATCGGTTCATTTTTATATATTTTATGTGCAAGAGATGTTTTAATAGTCTTTCATAAATTCAGTCATTTAAACTTAAAAAGTTTTGATGCGTCTGTCATGTTCTACGTGAAATTTTGATCTGGAAACAAAATATGTGCCTAAAAATCCTGACTGGTGGTCCATTGAGAAATTGGCACAACTGTTTATTGGAGGAAAGTTAGACAAATATTTTGACCCAAAAGCACCTACCTACTTGCGTAGAGGAACAATTTTTTTTTTTTTTTTTTTTTTTACTACTTTAAGTAGCCCACAAGGGCTAATCCTGCGCTGTAAGTCCCATCCCTACTGAACCAGTCCCAGGCAACGTTTGTTTGAGACCATCAAACTCGGGTCGCCTGGTCGGGAATCGAACCCGAGACCTTCCGATCATAGGAACACACCACTACACCATAGGAGGCCAACAAATATGTTGAACGTAATCTAATGACAAATATGTTGTTTCTCGAATGAGTCAGAAATAATTCCTTATTGCAAAATCTTGTCTAATCGACTCAAATATGAAGAATGTTAGCCATCAGTTTTGACAATAATTTAACAATACAACAACAGTTTTAACAATAATTATTATGTTTATTTTGGACTCAAGAAAGACATAAAATGTTGAAATTTGAAAAAAATATCAAATAAATTAACTACTTAATCATTGATATTTCCATTGGCTGACAATGGAACATATGGCAAAAGCCGCAACTAAGCTTTGAAAGAAGCGTTTTCTGATCAAAATGGGACAGTGGCAAGGAATCTGGCCATCTTTCGATGCCACTAAGTTGGTGAGAATTGGTCTGGCCTGCATGACCCGCATGACTAGACTGTAATTTGCAATCCTTCAAAAATTTAATTTTTTTTTTCCTGCTCCTGTATTGGAACGATAAAAAACATTGAACAAATTATAAAGGATATTTTGATTTATTTGTAAAGTCACAATATATAAAAAAAATATAACTTTTTTGGTTGTGTGATGAGAGAAAAATAAGAGATATGTAATTTCGGATTTTTTTTTTATTATTTTTCCTGCTTTGACAACACAGAATTATAATCGGTCCAGTTCTGAATCATTATTCTAGATACACATAATCTACGTTTAAAATAAAATAACAAAAACAATTACGAAACAATCATAAAAGACCTAAAACGTTTTATGGCGGTTTGAGGTTTCTATATAACAGGATTGTAGAATAGTGCTAGGTCCAGTGTTCGAAACTCACATTTGAGTTTTAGGAGCCATGTGGCGCATATTTTTCCCCGATTGGCCCGATTTTTCGGCACCATTGAAGATTTATTAGGGGCCAAATTGATTTATTGCGTATATATTACGGCGCATTTAGTGGAAAGTTAGACGCAAGATGTTTTCGGAACAGAACCAGTGAGTAGCTGTTGCTTGGGGAAGACAAAAGCACTAAGAATGGAATTGTGAAGAATAGAAAAAGCTTTCACTGATTGTGGTGCTGAAAATGCTGAGTTTTTTTTTGAATTCAAATAGATTTGTTTTTCTTTCTATATGCGACTTCCTATGAAAATCCAGATGTTTAGGGGGCAATTTTTAGGGGTCACGTTGGTGCAGGGCCTTTATTTATCAGGCGTCATGACCGCTTTTTTAGGCGCATTTGGCGCCTGTGAGTTTCGAACACTGGCTAAGTTCACACTAATTTGCAAGGAAATCAAGGTGAAAACATTAGCAGTAAAATAACAAAATAAACTGTGGTGAGTTCCAGCGCAAAACCGAGGGGATTTTTGGATATTCTTATTGCTTTGAGTTAACCGCAGAATCGAGTGGACCCAGCCCTTTCACCTGCAGTTTTCAGGTCACATTTTTAGTGTTTTTTCATTTGCTTAAATACAGTCAGAATTGCATACAATTTAGAAATTATGACAAATTGCTTGAAATGTTACACCTCTGGTAAAAAAACTAACCTGAGTTAGGGCGAAATTTTGAAGAAGAATAGAGAAGATTAAATCACTTAAAAATCTGTTTTTTTCCAAACGTCTAACTATTCTTATGAAAATTGAAATAAAAGTTGGTACGACTTTCATAAAAAAAAGTAAAAGGAAAAAACTTTGAATAACTACATCGAAAATTAGGGGGAAAAAATTGTATTGAAATGTATGAAAACACTGATCTTTGATCGAAGTTCCAATTACTTCGACATTCCAATGTCAGATGAAAAATACTGGCAGTCAATTAACTTTATCATAAATCTGTTATGGTTACACAATCAAATAATTTTTACCATTTACTTGTTTGCATAGAAAAATACGAAAATTGTAAAAAGATTAGAAATGTATGAGGAAACAAAGGAGCCGTTCTTAAAAAAACGTGACTTTCTAGGAAGAGGGCCGTGGACAGCGCTGTGCAAATTTCTCTTAACATGGTATGAGATAGGGACCTACACAAAAACATTTCGAGGGAGGGAGATGGAGGGGGTCAAAAAATTCCAAAGTTATCATTACATATTTAATGAATGGCCCCTTGGGATACCAATGAAAATAAAATGACAATAATAAAAAGTAGCAAAATGTTGCCCAAGTCCTATTGAGAGCTACTCGGAGGAAAGTCAAGGAGCAATATGTTCAGGTGAATGATTGCTAAAGAGAGCATCTGTGTATTGAGGGAATCTAATTTTAGAGAGGTACACACATAGAATTTTAAATTATTAATTATCAAACAAACATTTGGAACCAGAAATCCGATTTTATGTGAAAAAGTATGTGATGTAATTCCGAATCTAGGTATGTAAAAAAATTCGTGCAGAATAAGCCTTAAATCATGCAAGGAGAATGTAATTGAAATTCAGCAGTGACGATTTTCGCAAGTCAGTACTGTACTAGTACCTAGATGCTCATGTGTTCACATCAATAGATTCTTGGGGCTGCCTATCTAAAATTTGCTTCAAGTTCTACATACTGACTAAAATTGCAAGCCCCTGAGTAATTATCCTACGTGTTTCAATTGTATTTTAGCAAAAAGATATTAAGACGTGCTGGGACATACCGCTTGCCAGAGTATGGCAGAGCTAATAGTCTAGGAACCATGAAGTCTCTTTCTTGTGCCACCCTGAAACATTTGAACCACGTTAAACAGAAAGGAACCAAGCCACATCAGTTATTGCCAAATTTAATTGCGCAATTTAATTTTTTACATGAAAACGGTTAAGTGGATTTTCGTACAAATTTCAGTGAAAATTCTCCGTGGTGCGAAGCAAATTCCTCAAAATTTTCAAAGAAATCCGAACAACCGTTCTTTCGTAAAAAATTTAATTGCCCAGTTAAACTTGGCAATCGCTGATGTGTCTTTGTTCCTTTCTGTTAAACTCGGTCCATTTAAGGTAACTTCTAGGGCCTTTGAGACACCTTATTCTAGCAATTGAAACCTTCGTATCCTGGGGCGACAAATTCAAAATGGCCGCCATGTCCAAAATCGAGGAGTCCGGAGGTACGCTAAAAAGTTTAAGATTTACCCGAAAAATATATGAGTAAGCCTGAAATCTACTTCTGGATGTGCAATTGGCGTAGTTTGGAACACCTTTCCTCGAATTTCCCACGTCTGAGGGAAGTTTCCAATCACCGATTTTGGAGGCAAGTAATGGCACCTAACGATTAGCGGTAATTGACAATTTTAAACATGATATTTACCAACAAAACCTCGAGTTGCCGAGCCGATTGATGAAATGGAGAGATGGTTTGCGGGGACAAGCACCACTATTAAAGGTCACGCTTTTCGTGCAAACAAGAAAAATAAACAACAAGAACAGCAATTACGTAGCAAACTACGCAGATTAAGCACTAGGGAGCATATAAGACTTTTTAAAGGTGACCATTGTGCCATTTTACCCTTTAAAAATCTACTCACACGTTTGTATTTCTATACCGGCAACAGACATATTTTAAGTCAAAATTTATTTGCAGCATCTTTTCCAAAGAGTTTTCAAAATTGAAGAAGTTCAACATTTTCTAGGATCATTTTAAGTACATCCACCAGTTACCAAGTTAGGACCCATTTTGCACGATTTTTTGTTTGATGTTTCTTCCGCTAAGCCTTGCAATCATCACTTTAGAGTATGTTTTTTTTCTCCTTCTTAAATTTATAAGCACTGCTCGAGACCTGAACCAAAATCAATCTTCCATCTTCCGTTTCATTTTAAAAGTTAGATCTATTATTAAAGATTAAAAGAAAACTTTTCAAAGAGTTTCATGTTAAATACAGGTGACAAACGAATCAATTTACGATTTCACAGATGATGAGACATTTTTTTTTTTATGATAGGAAACTTGATCAGCTTTGATTCTATGCAATCTTTTTTGCTGCAACCGACAGGTTAAACCATAATAATGCAGAAAATCATGGTTAAGGACTTGTTTTTAGAACTGCTTTCAATAAAACAGGAAATGGGTATTCAACGTTCTCTTGATACATGATAAAAATAATGAAAAGATTGAGGAAAGATACAATTTGTTTCGTTTTGTGTAATCTGTTATCAATTCGCGGAAAATAATAATTTTCCCCATTTCTTGGATCTTGGCATGATCCTTGACTGCATTTTGTTCCAGAGAGTAGTAAGAAGAATACAAAAATTTCAAAGGTCAGGATTTTTTGAGGTTGGTAACCCACAGTGTTATTTATTGCAGATTCTCATTCTAGCGGACAACTGAATGCCAAAAAAAATTCCAATCATTTCAGGTGTTGGAACCCTTTTCATTCATTCTACACACTCTATCTAGCGAACGATGAAAAACAAAATTACTGCGGAGCATTTTCAATTTCAATATTTTTCTTTACTGTTTCTTATGAAGAACGCACATTAAAAATTAAGGTTTATCAATAACACTAAAGTTTGATAGGAAAAAAAAAAAAATATATAAAAGCTATTTGCGACTTAATATTGTATTGAATATTCTTCAGATTGGACATTGGAATACCAACTGAGTTCCAATTATAAAATATCGATAGTTATACCTTAATGATTGGTAACATTCTTGATGATCAATTGATCCTACACAAATTAGAGGATGAATAGAAAAACAAAAGAAGAAAAACGAAAAAAATTAAAGAAAACATTCATACGAGGTCTGTCCGGAAAGTATCCTACCTTGTTGGTTATCTTGCCATCAACGATTGATAAGAAGTTGGGGCTTTGGATTATCTTTGCAGGGACTCTCCTGAGTGCAGGTGCGCAGCCGGATTATCACACGTTGAATCAGTCATCGGTAATTTGCTGATTAGTGCGTGGTATTTTGCTGTGATCGTCGGATTTCGTTTTTCCTAAAAAAGAAGAAGTTAGGGAGAGTGGGGTGGGAAGAGTTTGGGAAGAAGATCATCACAGAGGACACGTCTTGGGACCCTGAGACAAAAGTACAATCGTCAGTTTGGATCACTCCTGTGAGACCTCGCCTGTAGAAAGCTCGGAGGAGTCGCAGCAATGTGAAGACAATGTTGACTGTCTTCTTTGATCATGAAGGTGTCGTCCATCAAGAACACGCTCCCATATGCTCTACTATCAGTAAAGAGAGCTACCGAGAAACGTTACGTAGCTTAAGAGGCCTTGGGGAGCATGTGCATGATGGACGACACCTTCATGATGGAAGAAGACAGTCAACATTGTCTTCAAATTGCTGCGACTCTTCCAAGCTTTCTACAGGTGAGGTCTCCCGGGTGCGATCCAAACTGACGATTGCACTTTTGTCTCAGGGTTGTACCCCTAGACCCAAGACGTGTCCCCCGTGATGATCTCCCTCACAAACTCTTCCCACCCCATTCTCATGAACTTCTTCTTTTTTAGGAAAATCGAAATCCGACGATCACAGCAGAATACCACACACTAATCAGCAAATTACCAACGACTGGTTCAACGTGTGATCTGGCTGTGCACCTGCACTCAAGAGAGTCCCTGCAAAGATAATCCCAAGCCCCAACCTCTTTTCAACCGTTGATGACTAGATAATCAACAAGGTTGGATACTTTCTGGACATACCTTGTAAAATAAAACAATGAAACAAACTTATCACAGCGCTGAGTCAGTGTAGCAAACAACACATCCAGGCAAGACAAACTAGCACGATTCAGCTCCTTTTTGATCTTGATTTATCAAAGTCGATGAGCGAACTATCGACCACTTTAGCTTCAATGCCATCAGGGCAGTAGATCGTAAAGACGCCCAGTTTCTTGATGTCTGCGATGTTTCGGAACTCGTCATCGAAGAACATCATGTCCTCATACGCGACATTTGTTTCCCTGTGGATTCTATGGGAAAGATACAAAATTAGTCACCAGATGGTATCAACAATTTTTGATCTCTTTAGAATGGACCACTTAAGGAGGTGCAACTTAAGGCATTACGATAAGTTTTTAAATTAAAACAGTCACATGGAACAAAATTTGTACAACGGAAATTACTGAAAGTACCTAACTCCAAACTAAGATTATAAATATTTTCCAAAGCATAGATTCAAACTTTCGACTTACAGAAAAAACAATAATCTACTTGAGTTTAAATGCACACTAAGTATTAGCACTGAGTTGCCATACTTTCTTCAAATTATGCTTCTTTTTCCTCCTTTTTCGGGTTGACTCAGCATACTATACATCTTCAAATTCTCTGACTCCAAAATTGTCTAACTTTTCTTGGCTTTCAAACAGAATTTTTACATTTTTTTCTGTTTTTTAAAAGGTATGCTAATTTATGCTACATTTTGGACGAAGTTTCCTTGTTTAGAAATCTAATTACAGAAGAGGGCATTCAATTAGTATGCTAATTTTTGCTACATTTTGGACAAAATTATAGAAGAAGGCATTCAGCGGCTGGTTAAGAGCTAGCGAGCCTTAAAAAAGACCGGGAAGGGTTATCAGTTGGAAGATCAGAGGTATGTTTTGGTAATCAGTACAGATGTTAGAAATTCCCAAACTTTTCCCGGTTTTCAACTTAGCTGGCAGCTCTGATCCGTGACCATCTCTGAGGTATAAAAATATGCTCAATCTCTGCGCATTGATTCAGCTGTAGGACATTGTTCACACTTTGAATGACACAGTATAAGGAAGAAAAATTACTTATTTAGAAGCCCTGCCAAAACCGTTGTTGTGCGTTATTTGATTCAAGTAGACTCATGTTTTTTTTCCTGAGCAGGAGATTCAAATTTTTCGTGACCAATGCTGAATAAAAACGTTATTATCTTGGTTTTGAGATAATACCGGTTATTTCTGTGGCACGAATCGTTTTCTGCATGAAAGAACCCCATGTTATCCTTAGGAGAAATCCCTCCTGGTTGCATGAACAGCAAATATCTCTCACGTGGGATCTCTTTGGGACCATGAGAGCTTTCGATCAGAATGACTAGATGAGCAACATATCCAAGTTTCATCAGATTTGACCGGCAGGGGGGGGGGGGATTACCCATAAGGATGGTACAGGGTTTTTTTGAAGAGGAACTCTTTCAGAATGCTTTAATTTATACATTGTCAAGCGTTCCTGAGTTTGCATAAAAATGAAGGGGAAGATAAAGTTTTTCCAAAAAAGGTTGCTCAGCGGTACTCCTGGAGTCTTCCGTGAGCGATTTTTGTACTCTTCATTTCTGAAAAATGTGCCTTTTCATCTATGTAGCATCATATGTTAAATGCTGTGGATACTAATTTGACAGAAAATACTTCGAGACCTGATTAGAAAGACTTTTTACCTTCTGCTTCTGATGTGAAATTTTGTTGTGTTGAATATACAATGATTATTTCTGCTATTTACTCGGCCATTTTTAGGTATGCAAAAGTAAGAACTGTATGAACGCAATCGCCGTTGATTTTAAAAAAATACTAAACTGTACTAAACTAAAAAGGAACATGCATGAAGCATGTATCGGGGTTAGCAACTGCGAATTTCCCGGCGGATAATTAAAATGACAAAAAGTCATATGATTTTCACCTTGATATTGCAGAAAATATGCAATTTTTATTTATGCCCGCCAGCTATTCATAAACGTCAGTACTTAACTTTGGATCAGCGAAAACCTATGCTTTTCCTTTAATTTTGCGTGAAACCACATGGCTCCTTAGGAGTTCAAACAGGGTACTCAGCTGGTAAAATATAATTTTCTCTCTCATTCCCTGACTTCTAATGAAATTCCCTGACTTGACTTGAGTAATAACACTTCCTGGGTTGTTGTCCCTATGGCCAATCACGAAAGAAAAATAAAGTTTGAAATTGTCACGACAATACTCACTTTGAGAAATGCGCTACTTTGCATCCTGGGTATATTTCAATATGACTGAAATATTTCTCGAAATCAAACAGTTTTAGGAGGGATTTGGCTCCGGCAATTTCTCCAGTGCGCGACACTGCTGCCAATTTGATACCTCTCCGGTGGAGTTCTTTGAGGATATCCGGCACGCCAGGGATGAATTCGACATGCCTCTTCCTGGCATCCAAAACAGTACCATCGCTGTTAAAAAAAAAAAAAAAAAAAAAAGAGCGGTCAAGCAAAAATTAGTAACATAGTAACCTGACAAGTCCACCCGTAGAATTGCCATACGGCAGAGCCGGGTCGCCTCAAGCCAGCATGAGCACCTAGTAATTAAATAAATGAATTCTTCTCTTGTTTTTCACCGTCATGTGTAATCTTGTAATTTTTTTGTATTGGCACGAAACCTGTATGTACCTAGGCTCGGATGTAATACTGTAACTTTATTCTCTGTCAGTTTTTCTTTCTTTCTTATGTTACAAATATTATACTCAAAATGTATGTGCTTTGAAGAGGTAATAAATAAATAAAATAAAAAATAAAAAAAAAAATAAACCTGACAAGTAATCTGCCAAAATCATTGTTCACTTTATGATTCCTTCCCGCAGACGTTGATTCTTCAGCTCTTGCCTTTTCTTTCCCTCAAGTTATTCATGAGAGAAAACATTCCTAAAAGTTTTTGGCCAGCGTAACAAGACGAAAGAAAAAAAAATCATTTAATTTTCGACTGGTGGATAATTTTGTTGAAAGCTGATTGAGAAAATGTGAAAAACTGATTGATGAACAGGCAAGTTTCAGCTTGGCTGTTCGTTTCAGAGAAAATTAGTGGTGCTACCAGGTTGCTAATGAGATTTTACATACATATAACTACTTCAAACCCAAATCTCTGTAACAGGCAAGAGGTCAAGCGATTTTCCAATTAATAATAACCCAAACGTTAAACCCCCCCAATATGTTAAACTAACCCAAATTTTTAGAACCAAAAACTAGTTAAAATTTGATTAATATTGGCTCAACCCATGGTATGGATGGGTACTTGGACAGATTGAAACAGAATCAACAAACACACCACATCACCAACTTTTCTCTGACGTTTGACTTTTTAACAGAAAACTAAAGAAACAGTGAAACTTGATATTTTGTGATTACATTCTTCATGTTCAAAGATAAGGTCACAGAAAGTTTAAATACACTGATTACTCCAAAACTAGGTAACTTGGAATGGAGTCAGCCTGAGTTAAGTTGAACTCATTTATTGCATCATTATTCTGGCACAAACGGTGAGGCAATTTTAAAACCAGGTAGGTAACCAGAATTGCAACGGTTTGAAGTTTGCAGTAAGGGAAAAACATCATCCAGCGAAAAAGTCTGTTGACTTTTAAAAGTGCAGAGTTCAGATTCAAAATCATCAGATTGAAAGGCAAATTTGAGTCATCTACTGCTAGCTGATTTTTGATATTGATAGATGAAGACAAAATGAAGCGATCCTATTGGTGGAGGCAGGGGGTTGCAATGGATAAAGGAGGTGAGTAATCAAGTAACTAACCGTAACCCATGAGGCACCCTATTGTTAGTCCATCTTTTTCCCTCTTACATCTATAAGAACTATCCATTTCAACCAATAGAAATGCTTTATTTTTCCTTTGTCTATTGCTTTGTCTACCAATTTCAATAGGTAATTAGCCTGCTGATGTGTGTCAACGCATGAATGGGCTAAACTACTCTGAACTAGACTTAATTTTGCAATGAGAGACTATCATTTCTGGCTCACCCATAAATGCACTCACCTGCATATGGAAACTTATGTCACACAGGCTGTTCCTAAATCAAGTCATAAATCAGAGCAAAATTCAGTCCAGATGAGAGTTGAGGAAATACCAAATGCTTACTTACTTGCTTTTATTCCATTCTACAGAATTTTGTTTGGTACATAGAAAAAACTTTCGGGTTGAGGCGTTACTTACACGATACTAACGTAAAAAATAAATGTTACGCGAGAATCTTGAAACACTGCAATGAGTTGGACGTTAGTTACCCAACTTCAGCCATCGTTATTTGAAACCTAATAAGGTTGGAAAGTAGCTTGAAAAACTCTGCTGAAAAGGTACTCACGCATTTTTGTGAAATGGTGGTGTGACATGAGTATCGACCCAGAACGGCCACAAAGTACAATCTGAAAAGAGAGAGAAGAAAGGGATAAAAACACAGAGAAAAGAAAGAAAGGAAAAATGTAGTGTGAATGGTAATCACAAAATGAGAAACAACTTAATCAGCCAAAATACACATGATAAAAGAACAACTTAATTTGGGGAAAAGGCTGCAAATAAAGAACAAAGAATAAACAAAACCCGGAACGTTTCAAAATAGTTACAATTTCATTTTCAACTGGAAAATAAATTAAAAATAAAAATGAGCCGTCCGTAATCACAAAGATCTTACTGAATCCAGAGGTCCTGCACTACCCCTTTAGCCCTTAGGGTTCTTGATCCCCTTAAAATTTTAGGAGAGGGGGGGGTCCCAAAAATTGTTTGCTTTGATCTAAAAGTACTCACAAAATTTTGAGTCTCTATCTCAATGTTTTCGAGAGTTACAGGACTTTACGGGAGTGATGCCTGGTGCAAACTTGGACTTTTGGGACACACTGTAAGTTGCCGGGTCATAAGATAAAGTTTGGATATCTTGCATGGACTTAAGTGGGGATGAGGGCTGAATTTGAAGCACCATCTGGCAACATACTGATATGTCCTGTGTACCCCAGCAGGATTTTTGGACGAAGTTAACATTGCAACCAGGGGTGCAAAAAGTTCCAAAACCTCAACCCTTATGATTGATTCAGTGTGCTCGCCTTGCATAAGCATAGATATAAGTAAGTATTCATCCAAAGCTTTGAAAAAGCTGGAAAACTCATGGTTTAGGATCAAAGTCTCTCATGTGTTCATATTATAGAATGTAAAATTGACTTTCAAGGTTCCCTCAGACTTTGCGAGGCCTGGTAATCCATCTGGTAGGATTAAAATATTCTTCAAAATTGTTTGCAATGGAATCAATCATGATCTAAGAGCATGACAACCAATGGATCTGAAGTAGGTATTGTTGAAATATACACCAAATAATGGTTCTCTGAAAATGTAGTCGTGGTCTAACTTTTAATTCTGGCAGCTTGACAATCCATTTTCCTTGTGGGAAATCATGGAGGAAATAAAAATCAACCATGAGGTACCCTACAAAGGAATGAGCCTCTGGACAAGGAGTAAATCATAGCAATAAACTGCCTTCTCCCTCTTCAAAATTAACAAACGCTACAACTGAGCTAGATTGGTTGTGTCACAAGTTGCCTTCCATTTACTTCTGGATCGTTTCAAATATATAGTATTTTATGAATGAACTACACATTGAATTATAATTGCCTATGATAACTTCGGTTAAATTAATTTAAAAAATGTTGAATTCTAGCCTTAGGGCTCTTTCAATCAGATAGACACTGCACTTGGGAAAAGTAAGGTTAGAGGTGTTGTCGGATAAGATGGCACTTGTTCAGTGTTCTTTACATAAAAATATAAGGAGAGAGCACAGTTTGAAGTGTCCTTACCTAGATCAAAAGCGATGATTTGAGGGTTGATCCACTCGGGATCTTTCATGCGAACAGCACTTAGGGACAGAACGTTGTTTACGTCGGTCATAACTCGCCGGCTGATTCTTGCGAATGGCGACGGTGCGGCAGGATCTTGACCTTCGTTTATCAGAAGTATGTTCAACACTGATGCCAAGTTCACGAAATTCCCGCAATGGTTCACTGCGAGTGGCATTTTCTTTTACTCAAGCAGAGTCTGCTGTCTTCGATATGAAGGTAAGCACCTAATCTCCCTTGGGGCTATTCCTGTCAAATCGGGTCTCAACTGCTAGTTGACGAACTACCAGTTAAAGGTAACTTCCAGTTCGACCTGAAGGAGAGTCATGTCACTGATTTTCAACCTCTAGTTACTGGACAAAGACTACTTGCCAAATAGTGCATTAACATGATTTGTTCCCTCATATCCTACATCAGGTCGTATCTAATGTCTGGGAACCCTTGCCGAAAATTCAATTAGCAGTTGAAAGAGATGACAAAACAACCCTTGCAAAGAGGAGGGTGCGGGTGGTGGGGTCCACAACCCGAGCCCAGGTAGTTAAATCAGGCTCTTTGTGAACTAGTGAAACGCGAAGAACCGGAACGAATGTTTTGTCTGAAGTCCTAGTTGAAATCTAACAGGCAGAAAAAGCACCTGTTGAAACTCAGCCCGTTAACAGCCTCTCAACCAGTAGTTGTAAATTGACAAGACACACCAACCTCTAGTTGGACCTTAACAGACAGTCAACTACTAGTTAAATGATTTGACAGGAATGGCCCTTAGCTACGCGAGTAGGCAAGTATTGATTTAAGAGTTTTGACCGGTTTGTAATAGCACCAGAGGCTCTCCCAGAAGTTTGGCGACGGATGATGGCGCTTAGGATTGGCCAAAGGGCCGGAGGGGATGGAGCGTTTTGGCCATTGACTATTATAATACGATCTAGACCGCGCGCGGGGCCCGACTTTAGGCGGAATTGCGAGAGGTAAGACAGCCATAGGGTAGGGGTGTTCAAACGAATTCTTGCCGAAACACTATCGACAGTTTCGACATATCGTCTCTTACCGAAACTGGCGGCAGTACCGACAGTTAGAGTACCTATATTGAGAGAGTATGGCCACTGGTGTTACCACCTCTAATTGGCTCAGCCATCTTAGGCTGAATGGAGCCCTTAGGACCCAAAAATGGCGGACGCCATAAATTAATGTAATGCAAAATGACTCAAAATGTAGTTTTCTTTGCTTATCGTAACGAGAAATTTACCAAAATGCAGTATTGCGACCTCTTTACATATTTTTAAGGCTAATCGTGCGCAATTTTTGAGAAAAATTATCTTAGATGTAGTAAGATTGGCAGCGATTGCGATTGATGATAACCGTCAAAAGTTGGCAATGAACCCACTCCCATTCACAAAAACCAAAACAAAGCACCGCCATTTTTGGGTCCTAAGCCTCTCCAAGGGGCCCAGTGGTCATACTCTCTCAATATACTGGGTGTCCCAAAAGTCCCCTCCACCCCCTCTAAAATATTACCTAATTAATATTTTGAAACGAAACTTTGGGGATGTTCATGGATCAATGTTAGCTACTTTTGGGGCTCCTCAAAATTTTCGGGCCCCCTCGTGGGGAGGGGTTGCGGACCCCAACTTTTTTTATTCGAATAGCAACCCCCCCCCCTTTGTGACACATCAATCGAAAGAGAACAAAAAAAAGAAAATTTTTGGCGCAAACCGCAAGTCAAAATCCTAATTTTGGACAAAATGGCGGCCGGTCAAAGTTCAAAATAATGGAAATTCGACATCTCCGTTTTTTTGAAGGATTGGGACGTAAACTGGTATCCGGCGGTTTTTTGGGACGAGGAAAACGATTCTGGCATTAGTTTTCCGGACATCCTGTTCTTCTCACAATGGCGGCGTTCAAAATGGCGACCTGGAGCGGTAAGGGAATATTTAGGCTGTTTATCGGTGGATTTGTATGGAACTTTGCGTTGGGGGGTATTTAGACATGAGAAAAACGAATCGTTCATTGGGTTTTTGAAATTCTGAATAACTTCAAAATGGCGCAAGAAAATGGCGGAAACTTGGAATCACAGACGATTACGGTTGGATTCACATGAAACTCGGGGTTTTGTTGGTTTCTGGTTGGAAATTTTTGAAATGTTGCACACTTTCAAAACGGCGGCCGAGTTTGATGCGAATCCAACCATAAACGTCTGTAATTCAAAGTTTCCGCCATTTTTTCGGCGCGATTTTGAAGTTATCAGAATTTCAAAAATCCAATGAACGATTCGTTTTTCTCATGCATGCCTAAATCCCCCCAATGCAAAGTTCCATACAAATCCACCGATAAACAGCCTAAATATTCCCTTATTGCTCCAGGTCGCTATTTTGAGAAGGACAGGATGTCCGGAAAACTAATGCCAGAATCGTTTTCCTCGTCCAAAATAACCGCCGGATACCAGTTTACGTCCCAATCCTTCAAAAAAACGGAGATGTCGAATTTCCATTATTTTGAACTTTGACCGGCCGCCATTTTGTCCAAAATTAGGATTTTGACTTGCGGTTTGGGCCAAAAATTTTCTTTTTTTTGTTCTCTTTCGATTGATGTGTCACAGAGGGGGGGGGGGTTGCTATTTGAATAAAAAAAGTTGGGGTCCGCAACCCCTCCCCACGAGGGGGCCCCAAAAGTAGCTAACATTGATCCATGAACATCCCCAAAGTTTCGTTTCAAAATATTAATTAGGTAAAATTTTAGAGGGGGTGGAAGGGACTTTTTGGACACCCTGTAGGTACTCCACCGTCAGTGGCGATGATATCGTTAACAGGCAACAGCTGGTCTTGTCGGATTTTTGAAAGCTCACACTCAATGCATTGTTGCCCCCTGTGTCGGTTTATTAGATTGTCTGGCGCGGCGCGGCGGTGCGTAAAATATAGAGGTACAAATAATAGCAGCAGCTTATTTTCGTCAGCTCCGAAAACTCCGATCGCTGTCGGCAAGAGCGCTCTTATCGTAACTTTTTGTGACGGACAGTGTTGGGGATTTTTTCAATAGAATAATCGGAAAAATCTCTATTTTCCTGAGTCGAATAATCTTGTAAATCGATTTGAACGAAGAAAGACCAACTTAAGCCGAGTTTCTACGAAGAAATTTCTCTCGGCGCGCCTAGTTGAGATGATACTTGGTTGAGTTGTTGGGGATGAAGAGGTGTCTGCTGTTATAGTTGTGGGTGGGCAATAGATCAGTGGGCGTTATTTTTTCCCTTCCATTACAGACACGCATTTGAAAAATCGCGGGTTTAATTTTTTTCGATTTTTAATCGATTATTTTGAAAAAATCCCCAACACTAGCTTACCCACAACCGATAGAACATGCCCTAAGCTAGGGGGGGGGGGGGTAAAGCAAGGTACCTAAAGATGCCCCTTCAGCTTATATAATACAACCTGATCAAAGACATTGAATCAAGTAGACCGTGCATCCTGTGTTACGGAAGGCGAAGCAACTTTTAAAAATTCGCATGTGATGAGTGGTGGCACTGACCCGCATCGATGAGTTCGTGTGTCCCAGTTGCGCACATCTGCGCATGCGCAGTAGCGGCTCCAGTGAATTTTTGTCGGATTGTGAGGCTTTTTTCCTCGGTCAATAATTAGTTCGGAAAAATGAAACAATGCTATTCGGGTGTAAAATTATGTGTTCTAAAACTTTTCTTTCTAGGAATTTTGTCTGAAAATGGACTCTAAACGAGATATTCGTGAAAAACCGAGCGCGGGCATGAATTCTCCATTGCCTCTTTGCAGTCTCTTCGAGTGCTTGGGACTCACGGTCTCTCCCCTTCCCCGCCCGCCCATCATGGGGCTCCGAGAGACTTGCCTCGCTCCGCCAGTACTAAACCGAGCCGGACGCACGGTCTACGTGATTCAATGTCTTTGAACCTGATATACATGCAGTGCCGACCGCTGCTAGTATCACGTGAAAACTTCGTACTCTTTCTGCGAATTAGTGCCGCAGTTATCTCGTAATGAAAGGGTTCACTGCCTCGGTTCCATGATTCTTGAGAAGTTAGAAATTACTTACTATTTTAGGAAGATATAAAATAAAGGACTACGTGCAAAATGGATCATTTGGGGCTCGGGGCGAATACCTTTGAGACTTGCCCTATTCTTTCACTATCAATACCCCATCTTTTCCCAAAGTTTCAAGCCCCCCAAAAATTTTGGGGAGACGCGGTGGGGGGTCAAAATTAAAAACTGACAAAATTTTCGCAAATTTATTACTCGAAAACCCAGGAACGCCCAGGGCCGGAACGCTCAAAGAAGACCCCTAATTTTTCACGTTTGGGCCGTTTTAAAAAAACGACATTTTTTTATTTTGATGAAAAACTGATATGTTGTTCCTGATTCTCTGTAGCCCCTCTAGCTCTTTACCGCATGCTGGGGAAATGTTTTGGTCGCGGGTTATAAGCGCGTAAGGGAGCGAAGGTCGGGAAAATCGGCTATTTTAAACTGCGCGCGGCGAGGGATCAGGAGACATGTGGCAACAATGCGAGGTCGGCAGAGGAGTGTTCGGCGAACAAACCCTATGATGTTGTACATTTTCTGAAAGTTCTCGTCACGTTGAATTAGAGTACCTGTATAGCGAGAGTATAGACAGATGTGAAACTCCGAAAATCCATCAGGCCTTCACCGATGCCTCCGCGAATAAAGTTAGGGCCCAGAAATGCAGCCAACCTATGAATTTCAATTGTCCAGAACGATTTATTAATACAATTCTTACGAACCATCGTTTATAAAGCACGTATTTGACTTAGTTTTTGCATAAAATTACTCATTTTTGTGGAAGAACGCTCATTTATGTACTTTCCTAGCCATTTTCGTAAGAATTAGAATCTACCGACTGGCAGTGAAATTTAGTGCGTCAGAAGTTGGTTAGAAGGGTGGCTGCACTTTTGGGCCCTAAGCCCTCCATGAAGCGATCTGTCCATACTCTCGCTATACAGGTACTCTACGTTGAATACGCTCGTTTAAACCGCGTTTTCCGAAACTTCTGGGTTTTCGAGTAATAATTTGGCGAAAATTTTGCCGGTTTTTAATTTTGACCCCCCACCGCGTCTCCCCAGAATTTTTGGGGGGCTTGAAACTTTGGGAAAAGATGGGGTATTGTTAGGAGAATGAATAGGGCAAGTCTCAAAGGTATCCGCCCCGAGCCCCAAATGGCCCGTTTTGCACGTAGTCCTTTTTAGCAGATATTTTGACTTTGCAACTTTGATTCCGGATGATTATTTCATGAAAAAAGAAGTAACTATACATAAGAAAATGTGGGAAATAAAATATTTGGGGGGGGGGGTGGAAGGATACGTAATTTAAATTCACTTTAAAAAATTGATTCAACGAGTAACAAGGAAAGCTGTTTTTAATTTTAAAAAAGAACAGAAAAGGAAAGGAAACTGTCACATGAGTTTGATGTCGGTAAATACCCTGTGCCTTTAAGTCAGATTTCTTTAACATTTTTCTAAGACTGGGATGTTCCTCTTATTGCTACAAAAAATAATGTCACTCGCTGTCCGTAAAACGTCATGCATGAAGGAATGAGTTGATAATAGGTAATATTTACGATCAGGAGCAGCATCATAACTGAAAATTTCAATTTTTGTGGAAAAAAGGAAAGGAAAATATCAAAATTAGGTGCAGGAACATTTTAAAAAAGGGTAATCATCCATTCACGTGGTAACGACGAAGACACTGGCAACTTGGCAAGCTAGCCGACACTATATGTAATCCGGGATGCCTATCGTCTCATTAAAAGATCGTGGCGCGCGGTCTATAGATTGTATTATAAGTCAATGGTTTTTGCATTCAGAGACTCCTCGAATGAACGGGGTCCCAACTTATCCTTCGCAGCGAGTGTATTTGCACTCCCTGATCTGCAGAATAATCGGACGTCATATTGCAATAGGTTTGTTGCAATCGGGAGGGATTTGGAGAATGATGAGCCCACCATGGGTAAATTCTCACGAGAAAACGGTCGGTGTGGTTAAAAACACTCTCAGCTTGATATTAAAGCTGCAAAAGCTAAATAAAGTTCTAAGTTCCAACGGAGGCCTCTCATTGGTCGGCTCTACGTCACAACCAGCATGTTTATCTCCCGCCGTTTCGATGCACCTGTGCTACCCCATAGGGAATCTAAAGTCGTTTTTCTATAACGAGTTTAGGTCAATTTGTAACTTATCTTACCAAATTTTCTTGCAGTTATCGGCTCTTCACATCCTTTACTTTACAACTGCATCAACGAATGTTTTAAAATTGCATCATATTAAAGCTTAATACATTTATTTAAGTCCCGTAAGTGAGGTTATGTCTCCTTTTAGGGGTTTTCGCTGGTCAAGTTAAGTAATGCTGTTTGCCCGTATTTGCTCAAATACATCAACGCATGTATTGGATATTGGATACCTAAAACCAAGTTTGTATCCATTATTTGACTCTTAATGATGACTTATTGTCCCAGTATTTCAGTGCATATGATGTATGCGAGCCAAATTTTGCTACTACGAGTAATAACAGGACTTCCACGAATACAATTTTTTTTGTACGCCTACCTTGAGGGACAATTTCAATTTTTACTTTTTCATGAGACGTGGCCCTCGAGAGAGTGCATAACGTAAAGTTGTCCATGGGTGAATGCAGGCTGTGGCAGGTAAATGCCAACACGATCTAATGTCACAAAATGGCTACAGTCTACGAGCATTTGTAGTTTTAAATTTTCCCGCCAAAACTTTTTGAACTTTTGGGAGCTTTTTTGGTACAGACCCGCCTCGTAAAAACACTTACACTTAAGAGGAAACTAATGGTAGGTACAGACGTCGTTTCTAAACTAAGGCAGTTATTGCAGTTTCAAGTTTCAAAGTGCCAAGTTTGCACATCGATACGCTCACGCGGAAATGTTCCGTCTGAGCCCAGAACGCATGGATTTACACGCAAGGATGTAAGTATTACCACAGGATAAATAGACTACGCAGGCGTAGTCTATTAAATTCTTATGGCTTCAAGTAATGAGACCTCAACATTTAAGAAACGACCGTGAATATGACCCCTCGATGCGCCCAACCTCACATTTCACACACATTGCAAGAAAACTTTGGAAATTATAGCCGGCCAGGGCTAACATGGAAGAGCGGTGACCATCGCCGCATCCATGGGGTCGAAAGGGGGACTGTCCCTCCCTCTCCCGCACTCTAAGAAATCTACTTAGCGCCCGTTCCAAGAAATGTGACGGATTTTGGAAAAAGAAAGTAAGACATAATTATTTCACACCGTTGGAATTTTAATTCGATTAATTTGCTGGCAAGAACATCTCGCAACATTGCTTCTGCTGATCCTTGAAAATTCGTACTTTATCGCTGGAAAGTTGAAAACTTCTGAAAGGCCCGTTATATGGTGTTGTTTCTTATGGCACGGCATGCTATGGATACCTATAGATGTGTTCCTGGATACGTTTGGCTGCTGAAATCGGAAACAACTTTTGTTTTTCCCTATCATGCACCGAATTTTGGGATAATCTAATTTCCTCCGAAGAAGCTCACNGGGGGGGGGGGGGGGGGGTAATAATGAGGAAACAATGCGAAAGGTTGTTAGACGGCTGTCCAAATTACAATAAACTGGCACCTTGTTTATCACAAAACAGCACGAGTCGGAAGTGTTTTCTCGACGAGGGATAGGTAATGATTACGATTATATTAATAATGAATGAATCGCTTTGTTTGAAAACGCCATTCCCACAAGCACAGCAAAATCACAGAATGCATAGCCTACATATTCTGTTGTAGAAGTAGGTACCTATGGTTTTATCAAGACATCGGCCATTAACTTAATTATGCCATTGAAATTTGAAGAGCAGAAAAAAAGTCATCGTTCCGATTACAAACGTTGAAAGTGAGTTGCCGGTCGGTCGGAGCTATTCAATAGAATTTTTGAGGGGTCTTGTTTGCCCACAATGCTCCCTACAATATCTGTGGTATACTTGTTGACCCAAATACCCGTCTGTTTTCTTCAGGAGACCACAGTTCTTTCGCCCACGCATCTGGTGGAACCGACACAGATCCCACTCTACAGGCCGAAATTGATCATTTTCGAAACAGGTAAATCTTATTCCTCCTTACAATGCCTTCGGCATAATCGAGATTGATAGACAAAGTGATATCGACAATGGAGAAAAAGAGAAAATAAGCCGATACTCTTAAACGGGTGTTTCCTTTAGACTAGGGGAGAAAATGATGGGTTAAATTCTCTCTTGTGGTCTCCAGAGGGTTGTAGTCTATTTCTTATCTCCTCGATCTTTCACAACTACATGCTTCCACCAATGTAGGATCCCTCTATTTTACTGTCGTCTTCTTTTTCTATATAGCTTCGTCTATCAACTTAAATTATCAGCCCGAAGTAGGGTTTTTTGAAAAATAGGACTTCCATTTCACAATAGGGAACTACGATTTTTGGCTCATCCATAGAAGCACCTATCTACATTGGAGAACCTATGACATGCTTATGCGTGGTTTAAAAAATGAGCCAAAATGTAATTTTTATGTATCACTGCGGTTTCCGTATGCAGCGGGAAAAACGCTCGACAAACTAGACAGAAAGAAATAAATGGAGCGATCCTATTAGTGGAAGCGGCTGATTGCTGATACTCCTCCAGCTTCAGTTGCCTCAAAAGCAATTTTGAGCTCTTGCCAACAAATTTATTTAAAAAAAATTAAAAATTGAGAAATATGTCACATTTTCAGCTAAGTCCCCCAAAAAATCCTGGGAGATTTTTCAAGGGGGTAGCCCTTCCTTGTCCTGCCCACGACAGGAGTTCAATGAAATTGAGTATGTACGTCTTTTTTTTT